CATATCACGTGCAAGGCTCCATCGTAAAGAAAAGAAAAATGAGTTTTGATGGAGTGAAGTACATGTATGGTGTATGCATTGTAGTAGTCCAAAATTATTAATAAAAAAAAAAAATCCTTTTCAGGATCCTTTCAAATTTTGTACTGAAAACTGGCTCAAATCTTTTGTTGTTTCGTTTCCACGATCACTCCTTATAATCTGGATATTTTAGTTCATTTGAGTTTTGTAATGAACGCAGTGAATCATGGCTCCTTCTGACAGTCTGTTGCAACAAATGGTCTGGTGTGGTCATAGTCTGAGTTACCCAGTGGTCACAGGTCCAGCGTGTTGGTCTGGTGCTCGCGGGAATGGCCTACGGGGCTGAAGTGTGGATGGCAGTCGTGGGGCTGGGCGACACCCGGCTGTGCTAATGGGTTTCGGCTAATCACCAGCTCAAGTCTGTCTCCGGCCTCTGTGATGAGCGGCACAGCTAAGCAGCAGTCGAAATCTCGTGTCCGCACGTGGTTCACCTGATGGAAAAACATTTAGACATCGAATTCAGTAGAATTCAAGTAAGAAGAATTTAAGGATTGATTACATAATTATAAACGACAACATCTTAATGAAGGGCCTCTTTTGTTTAGTATCTTTTAGAATAAGAGTCTACAAATTACATTTTTAATTCTCCCATCACTAGCAGTAGCATGTTGTTATTGTTAACTTTAAAAAAAATAGTTTATTGTAAATCGCAATAAAGTTGAAATAAAATAAAATAAAATAAAAATATTACATGAAAACCATTAAGTATAAATAAATAAATACATAAATAAATAAATAAATGAGAAATGTTGGCAACTAACTGAAATAAAATAAGTTTAAGTACCACAATTACTAAAACTAAAAACTAGAATAAAAATAAAGCTAAAAAGAATTATATATTTTTTTAAATGATAAAAATGACAAAAGCACATTACAAAATGACTAAAATTAAAATTAAAATAAAAACTGAAAATGAGAAAGCTAATTTAAAATATTAATAAATAGTATAATAGTATAGAAATAACACTGACGTTAGCATTTAATTAGCATATGCTAATCAGCTGAATTTGGTGATTTTTTTAGACAAAAGATTTTAAATCAAACTTGTTTTCTTAAATAATGCAATAAATAAATAAATAAATAAATAAATAAAATGAATAAGCAAATACATAAATAAACAAGCATTTAATCAAAAAGCAACTCCCAGGATATGTCAGTTTTTGGATCTGAGTATGTCAGAACTTTTTTTTTTTATAAAACTTTATGAAGTACATTATCTTAAGGTAAAAACTCTTTTATAAGTTTGAAAAACAAAATTTCACTGCAGAAAAAAAACACCTACAATATTAACAAATGAGGATTTTATGACAAAATATTTTTAATCAAACTGTTTTTTTCTAAAAATATTGACTTAATGGTTTAAATGTTCTACAGAATTGTATTTTTTTAGAGTCTGTAAAATAACTTTCATCATACTAACGTTAATGCAACTTCAAGTTAAGTCTGAAAATTTCAACCCATTATTAAATATGAAAACAAGCATGCAAAACCAGACACCATAAAGCAAGCACCTACAACTAAACCATATCATCTTTTTTCAACCTCCATAAGCAAACAAACTCTGCTTGCTGTGTGTTATCTGTGGTTGACACACCACATCTGTTAAGTATAATCTTAAAACAGATTTAATAATTTCCACAGCCAGTGAAGTGTGGTAGATTAGCGAGAGTAGGACGTTCTCTAAGATTTGACCACAAGTGCTGTGTAGCCACGCAAAAGATCCAGTCAAATCACTTTTTAACTCGACATGTCCTCCCAGAGTCAAAGGCCTACTGACGCTCTCATACCTCATTCTGGCCCTCTCAGAGTGAGTTTATATTTAACGGAGCTGGGCAGATCGTATAGCTGGGGAAAGGGAGGGGGCTCTGGGAAACCATGCAGTGTGTGGTGATCTGAGAAGGGGCACCTGAAGGATCCTGTCGTACGGTTTGAGTCCAGAGCGGTCTGCTGGACCCTCAGGTCTGATCATGTTCACATAAACACCCTTTTCCAAGAAACTGTCCGATACACTGAATCCAAAGTCATCGCTTTCTGGGTCCTTCATCACAGTCACCTGTTGAACACAAAATTATTTGAACAATTTAACCATGTGCTAATTTCTTCTAAACATGTTCAGCAGATGATATTGAAATCTTAAAGGAATAGGTCACAATAATTACATTTAATTACATTTTTTTTTTTTTTGTCATGTTGTCCAGTAAAAAAAAATAATGAGAAACAAATCTGCATAATAATAATATATTCTTAATATCTGCAACATATTCTTAATATACGCAACATTATTTTCAAGTAAATTAATCTCATTTTAAAGATGATTTTCCAAAACTGTATGTTCTAAATAAAAAAACTGTATCTTCTAAACAAAACAAAACAAAACAAACAAACAAACATAAAAAAAGCAAAGCAAAGCAAAACAACAACAACAAATGAAGCCAAAAAAACAAACAAATAAACAACAACAAAAAAAAACTATACTACAAACAAAACTACAAAACAAAATCTTCAAAACAACTCCTAGGACATGTCAGTTTGCCTCTGAAATAAACAAAGCAAAACAAAAACAAAGCAAAGCATAGCAAAAAACAAAGCAAATCAAAGCAAAGTAAACAAAAAAAAACAAACAAAAAAAACAAATCTTCAAAGCAACTCCCAGGACATGTCAATTTTCCTTGAAAATAAACCACGGTTATGTTGATGGGACAGATCTGTGCATCATAATTTATTGGTTTTGCATGAACTGCATGACGTATATCTTCAGGGAAAAATACTTTTTTGAGTTTGAAAAAAAAAAAGTAATGCTAAAGCGCATAAAAAGCACCAGCAGTATTAATCAGTGAGGGGTGGAAGATGTAGTTCCCTGCCCTTTCCCAGGGACATTTTCTGAGATGAATGCTGTTCTTACATTCCCAGTGGTTACTAATACCAACCAAGCTGACCAAAACCTCAGAAGGAAGTGGAACTTGTGTTCAAACATGTGTTTAACTTATGTAGTGGAGTCCGCCCACCTTGTGCAGCTCTAGCGGTGTGGGCGACAGGATGTCCTGAATCTCTTCTTTGATCCTCCGTGACTCCCAGGTCTTCTCGGACATGCGGAGCGTGCTCTTGTTCTTGGTCTCGTTCAGGAGATGCTGGGGTTTTCTCAGAGGGCTGAGGTGAGGTTGGCTGACTGTCTCGCCGTGGGCCTTTCCACCCTCTACACCTAAACTCAGGGCACTACCGGTCATTATTGATGCCTACGGGTGGAAAACAACCACAAACATTGATTATTGTTTTTTTTACATGCCAACGTTCCCGAGTGTGTTAAACTCCTGTCATGTGAGAGGGCCTTTAGGCCACATCGTTTCAATAGGAAGCCTCTGATTGGGCTCTCATTAAGCAATTTTCTCATCTAATCAAACCCTATTAACCAGAGGATGTGAAGCCCATCCTCATTTGTCTTTAATGAGCTCCAGATCCATTTATTTCCAATGAGCTGCGACTGAAATGTGTGTTAATTGTGAGTTCAGGCATTTGTGACTCTTTGAAGCTGTAATTCAATAGGATTTAACTCAAACCAAGACACATAGGATCTACGCTCATGAAATCACTTTTAAAACACAGTTAGCGTACAATAAATTGCAGATTACTTGGAAAGCTGCAATCCATTATGCCTTTATGACATAACTACAGATTTCTGCTGGCTTGCACATACAGTAATACATTATTTTCCAGAATGCAACTACAACAGATTCTTCTGTGAAGTTAATCAGAAACCACAAAGCACCTCTCCTAACCTTGTGATGAATATCCTACCTAATTTGTTGTTCAAAAATGCTTGGCCTTTTAAGCTTGTTTAGCTTATATTCTGTAGTATCACCAAATCTTGGATTCAATCTTTTTGGCAATTTGTTTTCTTTCAGTTAGCACAGTTTTTTGTTTTTTTTTGGAACTGATTGATTGTAGGCCTCATTGATCTAAACTGAGCTTTTTGAGGGTAAAATGCATTATTTGTGAATAATTTTGGCAATATTCACTCAAAAACTGAGGGGCATAAACTCAGATTAATGAGGTCTACAATCAGCCAGTTCCAAAAAAAGGGTGCTAACTGAAAGAAAACAAATTGATAAAAAGGCTGAATCCAACATTTGGTGATAATATAACAATCCAAGATCTTTTTATGAGCAAAGTCACTAAGTTTTATTCCAATGTGCTAATATCATTTTCGGAATGAAATAAATTTAATGAAAATAAAATGAATGTTAACTGAAATAAAAATAAATATAAAAAAACTACCTTATTTCAGTTAGTTGCTAATACAAAATTTAACATTTTCATTTAGTGATAACAATAAGCTAAAACTGAAATAAAAATTAAAACCTATTAATAGGTTAGCAAACAATAACTAATAAAAATGACAAAAACTACTGAAAGTTTAACAAAATTTTTAATTAAAATCGAAACTACAAAAATTAAATGCATTTAAAATATAAATAAAAACTACAATGATACTAAATTATACCAAAACAACACTAATGCAAATTGTGTCACTGTCATTTCATATCTTCGCTTAAAAAAGAAGTGTAGAAACTATTTTCACTCAGAAATTTGTAGTAAATTGGTAGTAATAATTAGTAGTAAATCACAATCAATTAAAAAAGAAATGGCAAGTAACACGCAAAATTTTTTGTATCGTGTTCATGTCATTCCAAACCTGTATGACTGACTTTATTCTGCACAACACAAAAAAACACATTGTGAAGAATGTGCTGGCTGCTCTTTTCCACAGAAATTCCTTTAATGACTGTTGAGTCAAATACGTTTGATGTCACTGAAATGAAACCTGGAACGACTTGCCTAAGCACCGCATATTTGAACAAACGCGAATGCAAATTATATTTCAATTTCAGTATGTTCCACACACAAAGCTACCGTGTGACTTCAGAAGAGTTGACAGCAACCCATTCACTGCTATTACACTGAGAACAGTGCCAGCACAGGACAAAACATCTCCTTTTGTGTTCCATAGAAGACAAAGTCAAGTATCGATGAAGAAACATGTCATCCATGGCTGACCTTGCTTGCCAGTGTCATCAAACATCTGATAAAAACACTTCCCCATACTTTCGTAACTCTCCTTGTTTGCTTGTGCAAGAACAGAGCTCATTGTTTTGAACCATCAGGCGTGAAATGAGCCATCAGTCACCATTCAGAGCCCGATGTTGTGGTAGCAGGATTGTAGTGGTTGGTGATTTGGGATTTACAACTTTAAAAAAGGTAATTCACAAGAATGATCTGCGCCTGCTGATGGTGGTGTGTATTTGCATGCACCGTCTGTGGTGTTTTAGCACTCGACTCACTCCAGGAATTATTTAACTAAGGCCAAAAACTGTGCTGAAAGCAACTTTCACGGCACAATTCCTCATCTTGAAGGCAAGATTTAAGTGGAGGACACGGCAGATTACCACAATCTGACATAATTCACTGGGACTGAACAGCATTGCTCAACCACCGCACAAAAGCACAAACTTGCTTCTTGCACCAAAGAGCTTCTGAGTCTTTCTATGAAACATGTGCATGTGCCTTTTTAATTATTGTTGTTTTATTTAACACATTAAAAGACAAATAATAGATAATTTCAAGTTAAATTAATAATAAAAAAATTATAATAATAACAATTATATACACTTTCTCTTCATTCTCTTCATTTAAAATGACACTAAAATTTTGAGATAAATAAGTCTCAAAAAGAATAAAAAAAGAATAATGAATAAAAAAAGAATAATGTCTGTTTTCTTAATTAAAATATTTTCAGTTTTCGTTATGATTTTAATTTAAGTTTGAGCAATTTTGTTATGTGCTTTGCCATTTTTATTAGTTTTAGTTGAAATATTTCTATTTAGCTTTATTTATTTTTTCTGGAATTTTAGTATGTTTTATGTTTTAAAGATTTTCATTTGATATTTATATATTATTTTATTTCAGCTTTATTACATCATTTTTTAATTTAAATAATAAATAATATAATTATTACTATTATTATTTCATTTTTTTAATGGACCCTTCCATTCCAAACTATAGAAGTTTGCCCAACTATGACGACTTCTGCTTCTGAGAACGCTTGAAATGTGAAAAGGGTCCATTAACATATTAATTACATAATATTTAATTAATTTGTGATTGTGTTAAATGCATCAAGTGACTCTTATATAATTGATATTGACATCATTACACCGCAAGTGCAAGCTATCAACTTTTTCTTCAGAGAAACGCCATCATTCCTCTTATTCGTTCATTTCTATCTAATCCATGAGATGATTAAATCATCATCGCAGCAGTTTACCTCGATCTCGCGCAGTAGCTCAGACTGGCCGCAGGTCTCCAGGTCTTCCAGGGCCTGGCACCAGAAACTGTCCTCCTGCTCCAACATGAGGCCGTCGGCATGCATCTGGCTGCTGTATCTGCGGCACACACACACACACACACACACATTAGAGCCAATAAGGCATGAGGCACTTAAGCTGGCACCCACATCCGGCACTCTGGCACCAGTCCTGGCACGTTAAGAAGGACCGCAAGGCTGGGTGGAGAGGAGCATCCTGTCAGAGAAACTATATGCCTGAAGATTTTAGCTTTAGTTATAGTTATTATGTGCTGTTTGTGCTTTTGTCATTTTATTAACAGTTCACACACACACACACACACACACACACACACATATACATACAGTGGAGATCAAAATTAGACAACCTACAATTTCCTAAATTTCAAGTTCACTGCTTAGTCCTATTTGAAGCTGTTCTAACAGGAGTAAAAGGGCAGTTTTTTAAGCATATTTCATAAATTCATTGTATTGTGAAGCACAGTATAAAAGAACTCACAATTAGAGAACACTTACAGATACCTCCAAGTTATTGGTGTTAATCTTACACCTGGTGCTAATTTCTTTAATTATACGACAAACCCTATTTAACTGGCAGCTTTCCTCTAATTTTCACTGAGATTGCAAGATGGCGGGCCACTCTAAGGTGACTGAAAGCCTGCGACAACAGGTTGTTCAGATGAAGGCTAAAGAGATGACCCTTTCAGCCACTGAAAGAGAAGTTGGCCTTTCTAAATCTGTGGTTTCTTGAATATTGCAGCTTGACAATAACACTAATTAATTCAAGTCCCCCAGCAAGGCTGCTCGTCCACATAAGATGAATGCATGAGAGAACAGGATAATGCAGAGACTCTCAATGGGGACTCGG